AGAAAAAAAGATAATCATAACTTTGTTGAGTGGAGGGGAAGGTAGGCTGCGGTTGAATGCAGGCACGAGGAAGACAACCGTCCATCATAACGGCAGTGATTCACCGTAAATGGGAGCCCTAGGCCAAGCTTCTGCTGGAATGAAACATAAAGCTTGACTCATTTCGCCCAAGTTTGAAGTGTGAAAATAAAGCACAAATCTTCTGATGTGAAAGAGGAGTCGTCGCCCGTTTTAGCAGAGGCACAAGAAACGAGTTCACAGCTGTCGTGCCGCATGCTTGCCAGTCTACGGCAGTGAAATGGATCCCGGACAGCCTACCGAGGATCGACGAGATGTCAAAGTACTCTTTGTTAATTTATCAGACCAATCCTGACTAGTAACGTGACGAGTAGCAAGGAGCCACTTTATTTCTAGCAAGAGATATTTGCAAAGATGAGTCTTATCCAGCAAATGCTGGATATTTGGTCTAGCGTACATCAATCAATACACAACCTTCCTTGGCTGCTTCTTAACACACAGCTGGTGGGCTCACCTTTCCACAGCAGCGGCGAGGCCTCCCCGTTCCCCGGTGCCGCACCGGTTCACACACCCACACACATCACTCGGCTCCGTTAACTGGACGTCTGCAGCATTCATCAAAGGCCGTGAATATTTCCTGTCATGTTGTCTTAGTTCACAGCAACGAGGCAGAGAGTAAATCCCCCTGGAAGTCATCTTGATGGATGTATCACGGGCAGACAAGCAAAATCGCCGGATTTTCTGCATCTGTGGACTCATCCACTTGAACGGCGTGCTGTGGGGACTCGCTAAGCCCCGCAAACAATCGCCTCTCAACATCATCTGCAAATCTGTCTCTTCTCCTCAATTGTGTTGTTGGCAAGGGCAACATGCCCAGCCTTTTTGGCTGCCATTTTCCCATTACGTTTCAAGCTTTTATCCTTCTGCTGGTGAAAGAATGAACTTTTGTCCGATCTTAAAAGGCGCCTTTGATGTTGGCAAGTCGACTTGCAAGTAGGGGTCCCAATGCGGCGGCATTTAGTGGGGGGACGCATTTCAACGTTGGCCCTTTTTCAAATGTTTCTCTCACCTTTTCTATCCTCACAATGTCTAAGGGAGGTCTTTAACCAGAATGGCTTCTCCAGCTGTTGATATAAAGTTGTATTGGCAAAGAGAAAAAGAAGACCTAGAGCATGTAAGAAAATATAATAGTAATCTTTAAGTAGACAAGTAGAGAGGAGGAAAGAACATGAACTTGATTTGACGAAAAGTCACTCTGTGCTTGCAAATGGCCGTATGAGCCAGGAACAGTGTGAATTGGACCCAGATTGGAGGCTGGTGTCTTTATATGACTCTGCAGATCTGCATATACTGTCTCATGCATGCGAGCACTTGTGATGGATTTATGCCGCCGTGTGCTCATATGGTCCCTCATGTTTCCCGAGGGCATGTGTGTGTTTGCAGGTGAATACGTGTGGCTGCCGTCAAGCGGTGAAACCTAATAGCATATTTCACAGTGAATAGATACTTCCAACCCAACAATAGTTGTGCATCTGTAGCTAATGAAACATACCCATACAGTAAACCAAAGAACTGACAATGAAACGGCATCTCTGGACTTACATTATCGGATCAAGTGGTGATTTATCATATTCTGGAGTAAATGTTCAGCTTCATGAACTCGGCTGCGAATCGTCATTACTCTTAGAGTAGATTTGGCTTAGACAGACATTGCTGAATTGTCATTCAAATGTTTTTACTGATTACTTTCTAGCCCAGATTAGGAGATTATATTACTCACATACTTAAAATCATGGATATATGGCAATGAACGCTAACCTGCATCTCAACAAATGACAACTAAAGCTGCTATGTTTTCTCTAAGCAATTTGATAAAAAGGAAATGGCAACCATAATTTGTTTTATAGCGCTCAACATATTTTTTATAATATCTGCTGAGTAACTGATCTTCTGTTTAAAGGACCCATCGTATGCGTCATTCTACCACAAGTTGATATGGTTCCTCGGGGTCTTAAGGAAATGTCTGTAACATACTTTGGTCAAAATACCACAAGGATCATTTAAACAGCACCCTTAACCTTGTCTAAGGCCATGTAAGAGAGACTCCTCTTTCATAGTGACGAGGGAATGATAAGGAAGCTCATTCGCAGTCACTCAAGCGTGACTTCTCTGACGTACAACAAAAGAACCATAACAAATGGCGGCAGTTGTTCTTTCCCAGAGTTTTTGGGTTATTAGACACGGCAGATACCAAAGTTGTTCACAATATGTCCCCTTTAAGTAGGGAATAATGGTAATAATTATAATAATAACAATAACAATAATAACTTGAGAGCTTTCTTGCATAATCTCAAAGTATTGTTATTATTGGCAGATTAGTTGCATATCCCGTTCGAGGAGCCTCTCGGTCACATCGGTCCATGCCGACCAATGATGTCACAGCCTATGACTGAGGCTGCGATGCACCTAAACCGTGTCCGTACTCTGCATTCTCAAAAGGTTTTTTACATTCAGGAGCAGAGGTGCAACAGCAGCCATCCAATTAAAGCATTTTGAGCAATCTGCCGGTGAGATTTCCCCCCAAAAAACAAAGATGTTACACATCATTTAGAGATTTGAGATGAATGGGAAACATTAGGAGATCAGCGAGGGACAATGGCTTTTACATCTCTGAACTATTTCTTCAGCACGGTTGGAAACCATGCATTTAGTGTTATATCGTTCCTCAGTGCATGTTTAATATCTGAAGTACACATGTGGAAATGGGATTTAGATTTGAGTCGTCAGAATAGTGGAGGGACAACTCAAGGTTTGGTGCAATACAATAGTGGGGCTGTAGAACAATAATAATACTGGAACTTTTAACTGCAGTGGGCCACAATGTATGTGAAAAGGAAAGCATAAATACAGAGGAATGAACACAGCATAGAAATCAGCTGAGCGTTTCTGATATGCCATTACTCGTACAGATATTGTGAAATCATCCATTAGCAGAAGAAACCTCATGAAAGGTTGTTAGGGCCTGGACGGGAATACTAATTCTGAAAGCTTTTCACTGCTGTGGCAGGGGCTTCCAAAGCCAACGTTGGCCTGGCAATTCTAATAAACATCTCAGTCTTTACTGTACTGCACTGTACTCCGTGAGTGTATGAGCTCTGTGTGAGCTTTCTTGTTGCGCGAGTACAACACACACATTTAGACCCAATCCCCACATAATAGTGAGTATTCTGGGGCCATCTGTTCGGTTTGATCTTCCCCATAAAAGTATCAGAAAATAGCAAATGTATGGACAAGCAGAGAGAGCAGACCGCTTTACAAGACAGTTCTGAAGCTAACAGCGGTGCCATTTGGCTTCTTCGGGGAGTCTGGGACACGCCGTGACGCCGCGTTGTGTGACGCTACTCTTACAAGTGAGGATTGGGGAGATAATATAATAGCAACACATTCCTTTAAATGAATTTAAAACACATCAGTTACCAACATCACGTAACTTTAGCGATTTCATAAACTGTGATGTTATATATTATATTTTAACTTTTCAATCGGTAGATATATGAGTGAATTATATTACTTAAGGTTACATTTAAACGTGAACTCTTCCGTCGGATCACCCGCCTCTGTCCTGGATAAATTAAATCCTCGTCGGCCCGCACTGCATGCTGGGATATGCTGGGCCGCAAACAATAGATCAGATGTGTCCTCCAAAATCGGCTCCCGGAGGGTTGCGTCCCCCGACCGTGTTCGGAGGAGCCGACAGATCGGGACAGGCGAGTCGCAACGGAAGTGACATGTGCGGTAGACGAATGCGTCCTTAAGGATGCAGCCTAGCGACTTTGAGACACAGCCTGTGTCTCTTATTGTTTCTCTTTCGGCCTTCAGACAAATGCAGGGCACACCCATGATGATCCATCCAACCTGCATGGCAAAACATTTTAAAAGTCTAGACATGTTTTTGAAAAGTTTTCAGTAGTGTTGGCAAACTATAATGTATTTTGTGTGTGTGCACTGCGGGCTGCTGAGCATAGCATATAGAGGCGAGAAAGAACGAGGTTGGAAGCACAGGTTGTACAATATTGGATAGCTCAATATATATATATATATATATATATATATATATATATATATAATATATCAATGTGTTGTTATGGAAATGAAATATTACAGGCTGACATCTGCCGTGGATCCTGATGATTTATTGAAACGCAACCTTATCTTAATTTTAAGTCACTAAAACTTCACACCTGAGCGTCTTACGATTCAGCTCGGGCTGAAATTTCACCGTCCTTTACCCTCCACACACACACACCATTCACCCACGTGCACACTGTAAGCCGCATGATGAGTCGTAATGGTGAGTGAGCCTCCATTCCAACTTTGTCCGTGGTGTGAATAATGTCCCTGGAAGTTGTCCACGTTTTTAGGGGTTTATCTGCAAATTCTTGTCTGCTCCACACTTGAACTCACAATCACAGCTAACGCTAAACTATCTTTTTCTCCTGTCCTCTTTTAGTTTCTACCTGATATATTTATTGCTTCTTATGTTGTGTCACAATCTCACCTTACTTTTGACTTCCTCTGTTTTTTCCTCATTGTCCTTAAATCTTTTCTCTCCTCAACCAAACGTTTTGTTTTGGAACAGTTTCTCAACCTTCTCAATTGACCAGTGCAGTTGAGCCTACTCTTTAATATATATTTTTGTTCCTACACTTTTTGTTTAGCTTTCTTCTTGATGTGAAAATTTACTTACAATTAAATGTAATGCTTTACGATTCAAATGTTCCAAAGTACATTTAGGAAAATAAACAAACAGTATTACAGCAGATGCACAAATACTGTATTTTTATTTAAATATAAATCTATTAGCATATATACAATTTATATGAACTAATGTTTATGTAAATTTAGATATACTCATTGGAAATATTTTCTAGCAGTGTTTTGCAAATGTGTTTGGCATTTGAGACAAATAACACATTTCTCAGTTCATAGTAAGACTCCCAATGTTTGGAATTTGAAATTTATTGTATTTTTTTCCCCACACAAGCAAGCTATCTAGAAATGAACTTACACATACATTTTTTATTTTGAAACTAAGCTCACATGAAAGTGGTCTCTAGCAAACGGTAATGCACACAGCAAACATGCTCTCTGTATTGTACTGTACTGTATTGATTAGTACCAAACCAAAATAGAAACACCTGATTATGTTGTACCAAACGGAATTCATGAGAGACACTCGTGAATAATTACAGTAGTAAAGGAAATAGTTATTGTTTTCTCGCCGTCTTTAATTTATTCATGAAGACAATCTCCTCCTCACAAAGAAAAGGTTGCCGAACCAAACAGTTTTCGTCAGTCCACATGTAGTTGCTATTGATTGCGCCACAAAGGTTGGACAACGGAAGCTCGGGTTGAATGCCGTTCTTCCACTTGCTGAAGTTCACCATTCTGTCGCTCCAAATCCAGAACCCGAAAACGCGACTCTGCCTGAGGCCAATCCAGAAGGGGCCACTGACGGAAGTGTAATTTAGCCATTGCTCCACAGCCTTCTGATCGTTCTCATCGATAATCTGCAGCAGACCTGTGTGGCTTTCCTTGCAGTAGTTAAAGGCCTCTTCCCACGTTAAATTGTAAGGAATGACTTTGATTCTCGTGGTACCTGAGATGAAACAAGGGAAAAGATTAGTTAGACTTTTTCAAGTTTGTGATACAGAATCCTTTTTGTTTTTTCGCTTTATACTTTGTATGTAAATGTGAAAACGTTTTTTAATGCCCCTGATCACATATAATGCTAATTTTGATGACGTCGTTTCAAGCTGAACAATTTCCCTTGAAAAAGTTATCGAGTGTAACAAATATTATATTCATTTTATTTACATGGAACATTAACAGCATATATTGCTTACCTTTGGTGCAAAAGGAGTCTGCATGACCATCATCCGTCACTTTAATAATTTCCTTCGAAATGTTGCTAAACGTTGTGTATGCAAACGTGGAACCTGGTGATACTCTAGATGTATTCCATTCTCTGAACGTGGAGCAGCTTCCGTCCTCCCACTCCCAATCATCGTTCAGAAGTCCAATCCAAAAGCTCTTTCCTTCCCCCTTTTCAATCGCTCTCTTATTTTCGGTGTCATTTCCTATGCTGACTAAATCACCGTTGTGAGTTCGGCAGTACTGCAGAGCCTGGCACCAGTTCTTATTGCGTGTTATCAGCTTGTAGTTGGAACCTGCAATAAATGCAAACATAGATAAATAAGTAAGAAAGGTCGGTACCCTGCACTTTGGTTGAATTGGGTTTGTGCGGGACAACTTCTTCCAAAGCACACCAAGAAGAGGAGGAAATGATACGTGTAACGGTTGCTGTTTAACTGTTGTTCTGGTGTTGGGCTGTCAATGTGACTCTGTCCTCAGTAGCAGCATGGTCCATACCAAAGTATTTCAACAACTACAGGCTCACCATCATCATTTTGTCCAATACGTCATTCCCGGACCTTCGGTGATCCCTAACCGTACTGCTTCGTCCACAACGTTAGCGTTTTCTTCAAAGCATCACCTCACACAGCAACTAGTATAGCTGCAGAACCTCGGCTTTGTTTTTGTTGACTGATGTAATGTTTATTTTCTTTAGACACCAAAAGGAAAAAACATATGATTATCTTACCAATGTGGCACATGAAAGGTTTCCGCTCTGCACAATTGAAATGGTTCCAGGTCGTTCCGTTGATGGCTACGCATATCTGCGACTGTGTTCCGTTCTCAGTAAACATGGTGGAGTTGAAAGGAGTATCATTTGACCAACTGATATTTTTTTTTGTCTTATGCAGACCAAGCCAAGTGGCAACATGAGATGAGTCTCTGAAAGCCAAAAAGCTTTTCACAAACTCGAAGTCCTCTTCATCATACACAGTCACATGTGAAGCCCCATTACAGGACTCATTCCAAAACCCATGTTGTACTCCAGTATCATTGAAATATCTTAGACGATTTGATGCGAGTGTGAAATAAGATAATCCTGTAAAAAGGAATACAAAACAACATTTAATGTCTCTTACTTAAGCTCTATCGCTTATAAGAACAACAAATACCATTATAAACGTTTGGACTGTTCAAATTAAGATTTCTAGATTATTATATATCAAAACCTACTGCACTATAAACAGGATAAAGTATTCCGACTTCTTTGATACATAATTTGTGCACAATTGTTTCATGTTTTAAAAAAATAAATAGTGGTGTTAGCAAGGATTAGTATTGACTACAGATAACAGAAGTCCTCATCCTGTTTACCTTCCCGGACCCACATGACCGGCATTAATCCCAAACAATGTTACTGTCATTAAGGGGATATATCAGGCCCAAAGCTAGTGAAGATATTTGCATCACATGGAACAAAACAATGACTTCTCAAGACATATAAATAAAAATGTCTTCATTACAGACATTCAAACTTTATGCCAAGCCCTAACAATGTAGGCAAGAATGAAGCATAAACGACCAATGACTAGAAAGCTGAGACTCTGGATCCAAATAAGCCCAACACAATGCATGTTATGTTGTGTTCACTAGTGGCTGAGAGCCTTCAAAGGATTTGTTTTATAGTATAGTTTTATATCGATGATATGGATGTTTCCACCTCTGAATTATTCCCACAAATTGCCCAAAAGTGTAATTTCTGCATTTTTTTGACCACACATCCCAACACAATTATTTCAACATTGTTCAACATTAATGGATAATTACCCCGACAGAGATAATGTTGTACATATACATGCACTTTGCACAAAACACCTATATAACATCAGATAGAGAACAACACCAAGAACATAACACATACCTGAAAACAGCAGGAGCAACACAAGGGCCATTTGCACAGACCTGTTGAAGAGCATACAGTGAAACTGATAAAACTAAAGAGCACAGGGAGTAACAGATGCACAACAGGTCTGACTGTTTTAAGAAGTGGATGCAAACATTTAGTTAACTTCTGTAATATATAAAATCAAAAAAGATTTTAATGTCCTACCTGCACAGTGCTGTCAAAGAGTAGTTTGATCCGGTGTGTCACGGGTCCTTTTTTATAGTATCGGGATGTAACGTTGCCTAAGGCACCAGGTTTTTTTTTGTTTTTTTTAAGAACTTGTTTGCATAGTGAAAACAGAGACATCAAGCTTTATGAATGATTAACTAAAGGAAGTTAAGATTGACTGGATGACAGCCATCGCTCTTATACTTAACCTACAACAACACTAAACATGTAACTTCAAACACAATACTTTTCCTGGATAATCGATAGGGGATTCTCACTGGTCTTGAAGGTTTTTAGGGTTGGAATCAACCTATTCTGCATTGTTCAAACTATTACATAATACTAGTATGTCAACCCGCAGACCAAAAAGTAAAGACACATTTTAAATCAATCGGTTCCCATGATACACAAAAAAGGTGCTACTGATAACTGATTTATTGTTGGCATTAGAAGGGCAGACGAGACATGGCTATATACATTTGGCTCTAGACTCAATGGGTCGTGGAGCGAGATGTCGGAATATACCTAACAAAGTTGCCACTGAGGGTGCGTTATTGGATGTATTTAATGAAATATACATTTGGGCATGCATATACATGCATATAATGCATATACATTCATTTCAAGTTTCACTTCTGCAGTGAGCAGATGGTGGATTGAACCCCTCGACATATTTGGTGGCTTGTTTATTTCACTGCAAGTTGTACAGTAACACATTTACCTTCATACATGATTTTTCTTTTTTTTCAATCTTTGAACCTAAGATGTGGAGTATTAGCCAGATTTGGATTTGAGCGTGAAAATATATTAAGCCATCAAAGAGTTTTACGTGATGAAACTTTCACAGAACAACACTGTACGGAACAACTTACTGGACTTTTATACTGAGAGAGGTAAATCATTTTGGTTTGAGCAGCTGGTAAGTTAAACATCGAATGGCCTTATTTCTTTTGCAATCTCGAATAGCAACTTTGTTTCTCTTGCTTTTCACCATTTCTACTCCAAAAAAGTCAAAATACAGAATGCACAGCACATTAAATCATTCAGTGGTTTAACACAGTTCAAATTGTCATAGGGAAGACTCTTCTTAGAAGGGATGTGTTTGCTTGCTATTCAAATCATAGCACTTGGAGTGACGCTCCATGAGCGTCACTCCAAGATGAATAACCTTTTGTTTCAGGAGTAGATGATATTCAAATTCATCCATCCATCCATTGTCAAACCGCTTATCCTGCACCCTGCACACAGGGTGGCGGGGGGGCTGGAGTCCATCCCAGCCAACTTCGGGCGATAGACAGGGTACATCCTGGACTGGTCGCCAGCCAATCGCCAGCCAATCGCCAGCCAATCGCAGGGCTACACAGAGACATACAACCATTCACACTCACATTCACACATCTACGGGCAATTTAAAGTCCCCAATTAACCTGATCCCCAGAGCACGTCTTTGGACTGTGGGAGGAAGCCGGAGAACCCGGAGAGAACCCACGCAGACACGGGGAGAACATGCAGACTCCACACAGAAAGGCCACTGGGCGAAATCGAACCCAGGACCTTCTTGCTGTGAGGCGACAGTGCTAACCACCACGCCACGTGCCGCCCTCAAATGAATCCAAATCACATATTTTAGGGAAATATTTAACTTATTACTTTCTACATTATGCGCTTGCTGGGTGATTTTAAAGATACTTTTTAGCATTATTACATTATTTGAGATCGGTTCATTCATTGTCAAACGTAATTTCACGTCTTTTTATAGTTTTTTTGATTTTGTTTCTGTTCAGTCAACTTGTATACATGCTGTGAGTGTTTCAAATGGGGAAGCTACTGCACTTGCACGTTCGCTAAGTTGTTTGGAGAATTCACCCGGATGGTAGTTAGTATTTACATACATATAATGGTTTGTGGTTTAGAAGTATGCGCATCAGCAGGTATATTTGGACAGAAGCACAGTCATATTCTGTGCACAGAGACTGCTCTGAACACATCATCTTATTTGAATTTCAAATAAGATCACTGCGTACTTGCAAATATATCCAGCTATTTCCAGTTCAGAGCAAAGAACAGCATCCTTGTTTGGGCTGCTCACAAAGGGCGGCTGATGGTTGCAGAGGAGAACAGGGTGTCTCTGAAAACATGTGTAAGATGTACACAGACATATTACAATAATAAACAAATATGATATAATACAATTAAACTTTCATTTCACATTGTTCGTATTCCAGAGTCAGAAGTTGGACCAGATATAAGACCAGGTATATACATGAATCATTTAACAACAGGAAATACTACGACCATATTCGGTGGAGAGGGAATGCAGGGCGCTGGCTGGACTACGGGAAGGCCGTCCTGTACAGGTCCTGTAACTCCTCCTCAGGAGTTAAACAATTAATCAATATTCAGAAAGTGCAAATACACCAACTTTTTAGCCAGGTAAGACGTAGAGCGGCCGAGATTCAAATACCACTGAGCTGGCAAACTAATCCAGCGATGAGTGGAGAGGAAACTTGCATGCAGTGCTGATTGCCAGCAGGTGAGGATGATGATGAAGGCCACACACACACACACTCACACAGAGAATAGAGGGAGGAGACACAACAGTGGCTGGAGTCACAGTTTTGCTTTGAATAACTTTTTAACCAAATAAATAGTGTCATGTTTCAGAGTTGGATATCTAAAAAAAAAAGTAAGAACTCTCCGCTCAATCCAATCAGAATCTCAATGATACGAAGTCCACTCCAGTGAATCTGCTGTGATGATTAGAATGTAAGTACGTATGCGCTCAGAGAACTGATGGAAGGACAGTTCCATCCTGCTGAGACACTTTATGAGGGGCCTATTCCCATGTCGGATACTGCACCTTTGCTGGAAGCACACTATCTAGCAGGTAACAAGGCTCTTTGTGGGTATTGATGTAGGGAGGCGGGTCAAAGGTGTTCAGAGCTGGCGCGCCGACGAGTCCCAGCGTTCATGCTCTTCATCAAGCGGCAAGAAATGCACCGCTGAGCGCTCGCGTTGACAAACCGCTGTTCACGGCTTTGTGTAAATCGGAGGTCACAGTGACTCCGGGCACTGATGCAATAGAGGGGAAAGTTGAGAAATGGAGACGTTGAATGGATTAAACGGCAGCTGAAGCAATTCTAGCCAGATAAGTGCAGCGAGACATTTAACCATTGAAGTTACTCGCTTTTAAGCTCTGTGTGTGTGTGTGTTTTACTTTGCTTGGAGACGAGACAGGGTCTTGAACCCACAATATTCATACTATGAGCTTCTAAAAAGAGAAATATGTGTGCAGGGCACTCATCTGTGCTCTATTAGCCTCTCCGTTAACATCATCACGGTTGGTGAATATCGCTATCAAGCCCCATTGCTTATTGGAAGACACACATTTTGGGCTCAGCAGTGCTAGAAAAGCTGTGCCAGTTATAATGGAGGTGCTCTAATAATTTTCAATTAATTAATATCTGTCGGTTTAGAGGTGTGGTTCTGCAGATAATGGCGCGTGGAACAGGGCAGAGGTGCGCCTTTTAGTTAAGCCTCGTTGGTGCGGTTAGAACGGTTGGTTCTAACCGCTGTTGGATGAAATGAAAATGTTGTCCGGAGGACGTATGTTAATGTATTTGGTGTTTTCTTACTTAAGCACCACCATGAGGTTCACATAAATGTATGTTTTTAATAAAATATTGTAACTGTTCCCTCGACGTATTATGTAGATCTAACATGGGGACAAAACTCAGGCGAAACGCTGAACTCACGCACTCTGATAGTAAGCACTCTGTCATTCCAACCAATCCGAATGGTACCGTCATTCTCCCAGCTTTCCAGTTCTTGTGCCCCCCCCCCCCCCGCCCACCAAACATTTGATTTCTCCAAACTTGCATTTGTGCATGATGTGGGTTTTTCATTTCGTGCACAGGGCCTCCTTCAGACTAAAATCCCTCTTTAAAGCCTCTGAAGAAAACAAAAACTGTGTGTGTTTGACTGCCCTATTATTGCTTTCCTCCTCGCACTGCCTTGACCACAGGTCGACAGCCAGTAGTCTCTATGGAAACAGTGTGCTTTTAACCATGCGGCAAAGTGTAGAGGAGTAGAACAAAGCAGTGAGGAGGACGGCCAAATGCTGCTTATTCATGCTTCCCGATAAAATTACATAATTTTAAGAAGAATTGGCGGGTTTGCAATGAATTTGTATGTTGCTTTTTTACACTCTGATATGGTCGTTATATTTTCCTGGTAACCCGTAATAAACCATCAAAAGGAGCTCTTGTGTAGATTTATTATCAAGCGAAGGACTGTGGGGGGGGAAGTCAACCCGAATAAGAGGTATCGCAAAAGTCAATGACCGAAACCAAGAATTAGCCGTTAAGGATATTTGAGGGTTTATTTTGAGGGAACCAGTGATGATTAATAGGGAGGAATACATAGGTAGGTATGTAGAAAAACTGAATGTTGGAAAGTAGGAATTTTGCAGAAAAATAGAATATTGACTTTGCTTTCCCATTTTCAGAAGTGGTGGTCAATTTATCGTTTTAGCCTCCTTGAAATACATTTTAGTAAGAGCAAAAATCTACTTCCAGAATATTATATTCATACTGATTATGATTCATTTAAACATTGAAATAAGCTTCACAACAAATGATGAAATGACGAACCAAACCTATATTTCTCTTTTTTCTTTGCAACCCACTGGTTGTAAAATTAGCTTCTGATAAGCTGTGGTTTCTGAGCACATTTTTCATACTGAAACTGACAACTCACCCAATCAAACAGTAATGGTTCCTGGTGTCAAACGAGCAAGCTGCGCATATGACTAATGCAGAACAACCCTTAACTCACTCCTCTTATGTGATATTTATTTTTAAAGACTTATGGCAGTGGGAAAAGAGCTAAGAATGTTGCAGATAAGTGAAAGAAATGCTCAAACACAATGAGTGACAGTTGGCGTATTGTGTACATGAAACGTGACAATAAAAGTCTGATGTCACTGGCT